AATAGGATTCCTAATCCTATTCTTACCCTCTATTGAACCAAACTGGCCCATATTGTATTTGTAGTTACGGATATCCATATTCATTCTGTATCCTAGACTACATGCTGAGATTCGATCCATCACCCCTTCCAAGCGGCCGAGTGAGTCAAGAGTGCGGGACACACAGATAAGTAGATAAAATGATCTTTTAGATCATAGTCCTTAGTAGCTTTCATACTTTGAGATTAGACCCTAAATATTGATATTTTAAATTTAACCTCCCAAATCTTTATATTTTGAAATTAGTCCTCGTAGGTTGCAGCGAATGGAAAGATTTGGGTGACTAATTTCAAAATACTTAGAAGATTTGGGGAATTAAATTTCAAAAGATCAAGAGTTGAGGGACTCCTTTAAAATGCGAAAGATGTCGGGACCAATATTAGAAAGACATGGGTCTTACAATAAAAGTTGTAAATTACGATACTTTTTTGTCTTTACGCGACCCATTTTTGTATCGCACAAATAGAACGCGATACATGCCAAAATTATGGTTAGAGCATATATGGAGAACGTCTTTCTATACATGTGAGAATATAACACAAAACTCATGACACATATGTATAGAGAGCGTGACACATATATATGCCACGAGGGGTGACAAATACATGCATAGCAAAACTCGTGACAAATATACGTGTTAAGAGTGGTGATACATAATTGTGTCTAGAACATAAAAACATAAAGAATATCAACATTCAACACTATAACTTCCCAAAAAATCACTCATCCTAGAATTAGGATCACCAAAGCATACTTAACTATGGAGTTTTTTAGCCTATATACTATCATAAATATTTAATCATCATCATAACTAAAATCTAAGATTTATTATTTAAGCTCATTAATAGATCCTTTCACAATTCATGTTGGACTATCAAACTTTCTCAAATATATTTAATTATATATCCAATGACACAAATATATATCATGATTTGCTATACTTTTTATTTGTATCACTATTTTTAATTATTTATAAATAAAATGATATTTTTATATATGTCATAAAATAATGGGAAAATGCTTCCAGCCCCCAAAAGCTAAGGAAACGTGCTTCCCACCCCCAAGACTTTGTCAACGGGTGTTTTACCCTCAAAAATAAAGATTTTGTTCTCTGAGCCCCCAAAACACAAAACCCAAGACATTAAAATATGTGAAGACTATAATACCTTTCTCTCTCTCTTTCTTTTTTTTTATTAAAATATGATGAGCATTATTTTATTATTTTCGTTTTCTCTCTCTCTCTTTATCATGAAGTATTGAGATGATAGTTGAAATGATTAATGAGGATTATTTTATTATTTTTGTTTTTTATTATTTTGGGAGATTGTTAAAATTACGGGTTAATTGTTAAAGTTACGAATTAATTGTTAATGTTACGGATCAATTGTTAAGGTTATGAATCCTCTCTCTCTCTCTCTCTTTCTTTTTTTTATTAAAATATGATGAGGATTATTTTATTATTTTTATTTTCTCTCTCTCTTTATCATGATGTACTAAGATGATGATTGAAATAATTGATGAGGATTATTTTATTATTTTCTTTTTTTATTATTTTGGTTGTTTGTATTGGGAGATTGTTAAAGTAAGGATAATGATTGGTTGTAAAGGTTATGCATTGATTGTTAAGGTTACGGGTTGGTTGTTAAGGTTACAGGTTTATTGTTAAGGTTATGGGTTTGTTGTGTAGGTTACGAATTTGTTGTTAAGGTTACGGGCTTAATTGTTAAGGTTACGGGTTTAATTGTTAAGGTTACGTGTTTAATTGTTAAGATTATGAGTTTAATTATTACGGTTACGGTTTATTAATTGTTAATGTTATGGTTTAATTGTTAAGGTTACGGGTTTAATTAAGGTTATGAGTTTAATTGTTACGGTTACGGGTTTAATTGTTAAGGTTATGGATTTAATTGTTAAGGTTACGTGTCAATTGTTAAGGTTATGGATTCCTTCTCTCTCTCCCTCGTAACCTTAACAATTAAACCGGTAACCTTAACAATTAAACTCATAACCTTAACAATTAAACCGTAACCTTAACAATTAAATCGTAACCTTAACAATTAAACCTGTAACCGTAATAATTAAACCCGTAACCTTAACAATTAAAACCGTAACCTTAACAATTAAACACGTAACCTTAACAATTAAACCCGTAACATTAACAATTAAACCGTAACCTTAACAATTAATAAACCGTAACCTTGACAAAATCTTGGGGGTGGGAAGCACGTTTACTTAGCTTTTGAGGGCCGGAAGCATTTTTCCCTAAAATAATTGTGGACATATACAACTTTTGTTGTAATGGTCCCCCTGGTACGGATCCAATCCTATACTTGCAGTGACAGGATCCACTACCGAGCCATCCGGTGATTAATATCGGAATAAGGAGGTGGATGATAGTAAGGATCACAATCCTTCCGTCTAATTTCTTGGAATTCTACAAATGAAAATAAACAGCTAATTCATTTACTGTTTTATTTGTTTTCATCCTTTACTTTGTTTGGCATATAAATAGCATAAGCTTTTACGATAGAAATTTCTGCTGATTGTTTTTTGTTTTATTTTTGCTTTATTGTTGTGTTTTTTCCCCTTCACTCTAGTCATTTCCTTACAAAAATCATGAATCGTATTGCTCAATGCTCTTGGTTTGAGATATTTGATTTTACATTTTAAAAAAATATATATACGACTTGGATATTTCACAGTTTAAGCCCGTTAACCCATGAATTATGTTGTTTTTATTGTTGGCATTATATATTGTGTCCTTAAATTACTGCAGTTCTCATGGTTGATTTTGTGAGTAATGAAATTTTATAACATTTACTCTTTCTAAAGTAAATTATTTGATTCTGCATGTAATCTAATTAACTCAATGATTGTTTGCGTCCAGATAAGGTTTGTGACAGTTTTGACATCAATTGTCGGTTCCAATTTAACGACAGCATCGACTACAAGTATAACAAATTCGAATCAAATGGTCTTCAATCCTGCGTCCTTTCTGCCAAGATTTCTTTGCTAGTTTTATCGATACTGATACTGATCGTTGAACGAGCAAAGGAATTATTCTTCCAGGTTGATTGAGTAGTTTAATTCATCAGTGGTATTTTCTCATAATTACAGCTTCACCCCTCAAATATTTTGCAAAGCAAATACCCGTTGTCTGGAAAAGAACTCGATTTCTTTACAAGATGCTAGTTGTCAGTAATTAACATGGTATATATCAAGATACTTTTACCATTTGACTGTCAAATACATATTTAGTAATCCTGAATTCTCTCACTATTGAGATCAAGCGCTGCTTTGCAGGCTGTATCCAGCTATTCAATAGAGTTCGATAAGCCTTAGTTGTTGATTTTTTTTTTTTTTTTACACCATAATTCAGATAAATTAAGAGTGACCGCATAGTTTTTTTTTCAATTTTAATAACTTAGTCGGGGATTGAACCCAATGTCGTAAGAACGATATTGAAATCTTCAAACCGTCCGGATCACCCACAATGGTTAGTGAACTAAGAGAATTTAATAACAAAATTCTTGTTCTTACTTCTTGTTCTAAAATTTATGCAGAAATCTCTCTTATCAGTTACTGCCGTATTAGCATTAAACACTAGCATGAAAGTAGATAAAGTTAACAACGTTTTCCTGAAAATTTAAGATAAAAGCATTGTTGTCGTCGTCGTCATGGATGACATGTTCGAGCTTGAACCATCAAACTTGACATACTGCCTACAATAATGCTGGTCACGGCGTTTTCTGCATTGTATTAATTTTATACCTATTAATGATGTTTTAAAAAGTTATACGACTATGATGTCGGCCACCATAAGCCCGACACCATTTTTATCTTCAAATATTTGTTACAGCAGTTTATAAGACTTAAAAGTTTCGAGCTGAAAAAATTAATTTCTTTTCATAGTCACCCTTCGACCATTAAATGGAGCTGTAGATATCTTGAAATAAATCGGTATTTCTGACTCTATTGCATCCAGTCATTTATACTTGGCTAAAACCAATAACATAAATACATTAATGAAGACGTTAAATAGTCCCCAAGAATAATAATCATGCATGTCGGCCACATAATATTTGACGTTTCTTAACTGACAATAATTTAAGAGTTTTGCTACAGGACCCAAAATAATAGTCGGTTCATTATACAATAGGAGGGGAACCCCTCACATGTCCCCCCTGTTGGTCCCATATTTTGGGTCTTCGGAGAATTTTTCATAATTTAAAACCACACCCTTGATCAATAATTCTGCTGTAATTAATAAAGTCTCGCAATCAAGAAATTTATTTACACTAAAGAAATAAGTCCAAGGCCGAGGCTGGTACAATATTTGACCCCAATCTGATAATGTTGAAGTAGGGAGTTGTAGAAAGTTTTCTTATCATCATTTCTGGGCAGCGCAGCTGCTGGAATCTATATGCTCACTCACGATACAGTTAAAAGCAGTAAGATACTAGATTGTGGTATATGCTCTCCGAAATAATTTGTTCATCCACATTATAAATGAGAAGCATAAATTGTTTTCAAGCTTCTGTTATTTGTTACAGTGGGGAAGTGACGGTTCATACAGCGGATAATCTGCAAGAGTCGCTGGGGAATTATACAAGTTAGTTATTTCATATTCATGTTATATTCTGGAAAACTGCTAATAAGCCTGTTTAGTTTCATGTTAAAGTCCTTCATAGGAAGTACATCGCAAATCTGACAAAGAGGCCTATCGTAGTAAAAGCCTGAGGAAAAAAATTTCCTCTATTATCTATTTCTTTTATTATCTACTAGTAAATCATAGGCCAACCTCAGTAGATTGGATAATTTGACCATCACCTCTATGGCCAGAATAGGTGACAGTTTATGACTAGCAAACCTATGGAATACTTTCTCTGAACACCAAAGAAAAATTTAAGCCATTACAAATACTAAGGCAAGACTTTACAGAACCAAAACTAAAAAAGGGATCGGACAGTAAGAATTGCCTTCATTGAATCATATAGGATACAGTTGCTAGGACAGTTATATGCCTGTACACGGATGGGAGAATTGTTCATAGAAGAAGATTTATAGCATATATGATGAGATGTAGAGGAAGCAGACCTATATTTATATGCTCATGCTTTGGTCCCTTCAGCAGCATAGAGTGCTTTGATTTCTTCAACATCATCATAGCTTCCGAGAAATACCGGAGACCTCTCATGAATTTTTTTGGGAACCAAGTCTAGGGCCTGCACAATATCATGGAAATGTCCAGAAATAGAAACTTTCACATAGGAAAATACACCAATTGAGCATTTTAAGAAGAAATGTAGATGGTTTTCACTGCCCTGTGAGTTATTAATAGTCACAGCCAATCTATATTTGCAGTAACTTTTCCATTCGTCATTAGGGTCAGGGTATATATTCCAACACTCCAATTAGTTGAATTATGTTTAATTATTGGGATAACAAAATCCCTACTGTAACCATTGTTAGACCTGCTTCTCGTATAAAGATTAAGAAAATTACGCGATTGTTTCCAGAATTAGCGTGATTACTGAGATGGGGATGTTCCAGAAATTTTGATAACTCTGGAACTCAAAGTATTATTCATTACTTTTAGACTATCTTTGTAACACATGGCTACACATGTAACTGCTTGTCTCAATTCCTCTGATAAGGTGTTGTACTTCATCAATTACATAGGACTATATGGTTTCAATATTCTTATGATGTGTAGCCCACAAGGTATCAAAGAAAAGACAGAAGAAGAAATAAATTTATACACATGATAAGAGAAACTTGTTCAGTTTGTAGAGTCACTTATGAGAGGATAGTTAAAAAGCACCTAACTTTTACCCCTATCTTCTAAAGAACCCCTAACTTTTTTATTTTCAGAAAAGAAAACTAGAAGCCTATTTTTAACCACCACCCAAACCCAACCCCCCGCCAACAAAAAAACCCACACACACACACAAAAGAACCCAACAACTTTCTACTTTTGACGAAGAAGACCTTAAGCTTTATCCTCTCTTCTAACAAGACCCAAACTTTATTATTTAACAATGAAAACCCTAAGTAACAAGAAAGAGTGAGGGCTTCTTATAAGAGAAAGGGGAAAAGGGGCTTTGTTATAAAAAAGAAGGTTGAGTGCCTCATAGAAGAGTAAGGTAAAACTTAGGGGCTCTTTGTCAAAATATAGAAAGTTAGACTACATAAAAATAGAGAATAAAACTTAGGGGCCTCTTGGACTCTCTTCTCAGTCACTTATGATGGAAATGTTCACAGGTGCAAGACATCAGCATAATTGGAAAATTGTTTACTTCCTAGTAGAGAGGGTGACGGTTACCACCTTTACATTCAAAAAAAAGGTCACTTATGATGGAAGTGTTAGATGATTTATTTGAGTGATTAGCCTTTCGTCCCTCCTAGTGAACTTGCCTGAGAAAAATCTTACCTTTAAGTTCACCTATGTGTTTATCAGTTGAAATATAGTTACTTGGCTGGTGAAAAAGACATAATCTGGTTGTTTTTTATATTCAAGGTCAATATGAAAGGCACAGAGATTTAGCTTGGAAGACAAATCCTACGATGGTATTATACTAATATTAACTTATAGAGAGATTTTTAAAAAAGATATAAGGGGCAAAACTTAATACCGCGTTCTTTCTGGTAAAAGCTTGACCGCCCTGCTTGTTCCATCAGGAATGACATAGGGAAGACTTCATAAAGAACACTGTCATATAAATCAGAACAAAATTACAAACCCCAAAGAATAGATGTGCTCTATACTGTTAATATATGTGCATAATTCTATACATTGTGAACATTATAGCATTTAATTAGGAGGAACAGGTAGGCTAATTTACACACGCGCAGTTTCCCATTTGGGCTCTTCTTATCTGCAGGTATAAAAAGATGCCTCCATAAAGCATAGTTCTGTGGACATCGCAACCATGCTGCAAGACCATTAAGAAATACTTAGTGGAAAGAAGAGCTGTTGGTATGATTTCTATTGCATTTGATAATAATCATCATTATTAATCAACAATCAGGAGATTGAAACTGCTACATCTCAAATGCTTAGTAAAAGATGTTTATGTTACAGGAGATGCTTATGGTTTCTTGAAATACCCCCCCCCCCCCCCGCCAACAAAAAAACCCACACACACACACAAAAGAACCCAACAACTTTCTACTTTTGACGAAGAAGACCTTAAGCTTTATCCCTCTCTTCTAACAAGACCCAAACTTTATTATTTAAACAATGAAAACCCTAAGTTAACAAGAAGAGCTGAGGGCTTCTTATAAGAGAAAGGGGAAAAGGGGCTTTGTTATCAAAAAAAGAAAGTTGAGTGCCTCATAGAAGAGTAAGGTAAAACTTAGGGGCTTCTTTGTCAAAAATAGAAAGTTAGACTACATAGAAAATAGAGGAATAAAACTTAGGGGGGCTCTTTGGACTCTCTTCTCAGTCACTTATGATGGAAATGTTCACAGGTGCAAGACATCAGCATAATTGGAAAATTGGTTTACTTCCTAGTAGAGAGGGTGACGGTTACCACCTTTACTATTCAAAGAAAAAAGGTCACTTATGATGGAAGTGTTCAGAGAGTGATTTATTTGAGTGATTAGCCTTTCGTCCCTCCTAGTGAACTTGCCTGAGAAAAATCTTACCTTTAAGTTCACCTATGTGTTTATCAGTTTGAAATTATAGTTACTTGGCTGGGTGAAAAAGACATAATCTGGTTGTTTTTTATATTCAAGGTCAATATGAAAGGCACAGAGATTTAGCTTGGAAGACCAATCCTACCGATGGTATTATACTAATATTAACTTATAGAGAGATTTTTAAAAAAGATATAAGGGGCAAAACTTAATACCCGTTCTTTTCCTGTAAAAGCTTGACCCCCTGCTTGTTCCATCAGGAATGACATAGGGAAGACTTCATAAAGAACACTGTCATATAAATCAGAACAAAATTACAAACCCCAAAGAATAGATGTGCCTCTATACTGTTAATATATGTGCATAATCTCTATACATTGTGAACATTATAGCATTTAATTAGGAGGAACAGGTAGGCTAATTTACACACCGCAGTTTCCCATTTGGGCTCTTCTTATCTGCAGGGTATAAAAAGATGCCTCCATAAAGCATAGTTCTGTGGACATCGGCAACCATGCTGCAAGACCATTAAAGAAATACTTAGTGGAAAGAAGAGCTGTTGGTATGATTTCTATTGCATTTGATAATAATCATCATTATATAATCAACAATCAGGAGATTGAAACTGCTACATCTCAAATGCTTAGTAAAAGATGTTTATGTTACAGGAGATGCTTATGGTTTCTTGAAATACATGCACGAAGTTACTCTAATTGAAAGATGTGAAAATTATAATGAAAAGAAATTTGCATGCTACCATAAATTTGATCTAATTGAAAGTTGTGAAATTAGTCTCTAAACGTTTGGGAAATTTATTCTAAGATAATACAACATGGAATAACTTAATGTTACATACCTGCCAACATATCTCAAAGATTTTGGTGATGATCCATCTGTAGGGAACTTGCATTTCTCGACATACCTACAAAATAGGAACTTTAAGTAACTCACCACAAAACGATTAACAAAATGAAGTCAGTAAACTTGACGGCTCATACTTTGCTGTTGGTCCATCCCAATTTTTGGCATTTCCTTCATTCACAGAGTATATTTTGCCTTTCTTTGGCACCTATGGAAGTAGAAGGTTACTCGAGCACTGTAGCTTTCAAGTGCATGAAAAGACATGTAAAACTCATATTATATATTCTCCTCATGATGCTTACAAAATGAAAATAGCACATAAACAAAAACATTTTGCTAAAGAAATTTAATTAACACACATCAAATTCTCACTAAAATTACAGGCTCCGTCAATTCTAGCAATCATCACTATACTTTATTTCTGTATAGCAAGAACCTCTTTTATTATTATTAAGGGATGTCAAACAAAATATCATCACATAATCTTAACTTTTTATGCGATGATTAAATATATTATTACTGACATTAATTATGTGTTGATAAATCTACATTGAGCTTATACCAACTCCATTAACTCTTTGACAAGCACATTCTTCCTCAATCCCCTAATTCTGGCATAATTCCATGCCAACTCATCATCATGCCATCCTCTAATTATGGTTCAGATTCAGGCCTGGAGTTTGAAACTTTGATATCCTTTTTCCATCTTTTTCTTTCGTCAATTTCGGACTTGACAATGAAATGAATTTGAAGATACACTTTCCCAAAAGGAGTACTGTAATACATGTACCTTTATGTCTGGATGAGTCAGTATGAACTCCCCAAGAGATGGATCCAGAGTGAAACCATTTACACCATTCCCAGTGCTTATCACAAGCTGCACTTCAAAAAATTACAGTCATGATAACATTTTACGGGAATAAAACGGCACCGAGGTACATATTGAAGGATATCCATGTTAATGTTACCTCACAAAAGCTCCCATACATGCAATACCCTGCTGCGATCATATCCTTCCCAGGTTGAAGCACATCTTCTATCTTTGCTTCATCCTTATCTTTAATCATGTAAATCCCAAAAATCTTCAGAAAATAGTCAGAGGCATGAGTCAATAAAGATATTTCTTCGAAGCGGGGAGAAGTATGCAAGGAACCATGTATCATCATATCATGCATTGTTATTGTCTTCTCACTAGTTGCCACCTTTTATGCGGAAGTATAAAGAGTGCTAATGTCTGAGAATTACTAATCATAACATGTACCAATATGAGGATGTAATTGGTTATATTCACTGCTCACTTATTCTCTTGATGGGGAAAATGAATAGTGGTTTATTAAGGCTTTAAAGTCTTAGGAATTAGCTTGAAGTTCATTCCCATCTTGCAACTTTCATGATCAGCCACCCAAATGGACGATTCACTCCATTAATCTTGTTTGCTATGTCATATATAACCAAAAGAAATACCAAAAGCTATTATACCATCCATCTAATGATTTCCCTCATTTTATATTAAATTGCCAATCATTTTTCCAACCACTCGATGAATGGTTTGGGACACTTCAAAGAACATAATATTTATTCGCATATGTTGCCCGATATGTCAATCAAAATAAATGGTGCAGTATGATCCATAATGTAGTTTAGTGGTAGGGAACGAACTCTCAATTTATTCCTAGAAATTTTAAAGTCTTTTCTACATAGAGAGCTGGCAAGATAGTGTATTATAAAACGCAACTCTTAAGAAAAATCAGCACAATGGACTATAAAAGGCACTCATACCGTTCCAATAGAAACCCCACAATCAATGTTAGAGGAACCATCCAATGGATCAAAGACTACACAGTATCTACAAAGAAACAAAATGTTTAAGAGGTTTAAATCAGTAACAATCAAGATAAATAAAAGACACTCAAGAGGATAAGTCAATCAATACAGACTTTCCACGCAACGCTGGCTCCACAAAAGTTGCCTCGTCATCCTCTTCTGAAACAAGAATAGACTGCAGAAGATGTTTCCGTATTGTTATTTATGTCACAGTCCAAAATTGCGCTAAGCATTTGCAGTAAGAGAAGGGCATGGACACTTGACTGTAATGTTGTAGGACTTACTGTTCGTCCACTGCTAACCAGAGCCTTGACGAAAACTTCGTTCGAAAGCACGTCTAGTTTCTTTTGCTCTTCACCCTGAACTCAAGGTAGAAACTTACACTATCACTGAAATGAATATAGGATACAAAAAGAACTGCCAAATTCTGGTTTAAATCGAAACCAGATCTTACCTGGACATTGGTCTCTCCTGCAAGTCCTATGAGTTTCGCAAGGCCAGCCTGTTTATGGAGTTAGAAAAATGAAAATAACAATAAATAACAAGTGGAAAATAAATTGAAGAGAAACTTGTGCGATGAACTGAGAAGTTAATAAGAAAAGCAAAAGAAGAAAAACCACACATGTTAAATCTGAGAAGTTCGTATTAACCCAACCTTTTGTATTTATAGAACAAGACTTTTATCATAGATAATAATCAACAAGTTTTCTTTAACAAAAAGATAATAATCAACAATCGGGATGCAACAAGACACGTGAGTCCACCATCTTGATACTAAACATACTCTACTAACACAATCATTTTGGGATGTAGAATTCATGATGAATGAACACAAATAATTCTCTAAGATGGTCCGTTATAAGAATTATGGTTAATTTTTCAGTTCACATTTCCACAACATTCTTCTCCATAAATATATAGAATTGCAAATCGTAAACAATTATGTGAGACAATCAAGGCACTACCCTCTAAATAAAAAGACTTGATTCCCATCGAACTTTTGAATTTTATAAATCCTTACTCTAATTTAAACTACAAATATTTCTTGGTAATATTTCTACAGAACCTCTTGAACCCTCAAATCTATGCATTACCCCATTAGAGA